CTCTCTCTCTCTCTCTCTCTCTGTTCAAAAAAATAGACAACAAAAATTAATTAATTAATCAATCAATCAATCAATAGATAGATTGATTGGATGATTGAATGATTGAATGATTGATTGATTGATTGATTGATTGATTGATTGATTGATCGAACTGTGACTGTGTGTGTGTGACTCTGTGTGTGTGTGTCTGTGATCTCTCTCTCTCTCTAATTGTGTTATTGATTGATTGAACTGTGACTGTGTGTGTGTGTGTCCGTGCTCTCTCTCTCTCTCTGATTGTGTTATTGATTGATCGAACTGTGACTGTGTGTGTGTGTGTTTGTGGTCTCTCTGTGTGTGACTCTGTATGTGATTGATTGATTAATTAATTGATTGATTGATCGAACTGTGACTGTGATTGTTTGATTGATTGATTGATTTATTAATTGCAATGAGCCCGACAGTTCCCAACTTCCCGGAGTATCCCAGTAAACATTCATGTCACGCACCCACACCCACCCAACCAGCCAAACGCCCAAGTAAAAGGGCCTTTACACGATTCAGACCCTGTTTTAACCAATGCATCATAAAGGGGTCGCTCCGCCAGAACCCAAACTCGTGAAAAGAAGATGAAGAGGCATGTTCTTTGGGTCAAAACTCACCTCCTAACTAACGTTTATTCAATGCAGAAGGTCACATTTCTGCTCCTGGAGGAACAGTTGTAATATTCAGATGTGGGAAAGTTAACACATTTGTTCATCCAGGGGGTGTGCAGGTTCTGTCTGTTCATACAGGAGATGTGTATGTACGTACAGTGTGTGTGTCTGTTCGTGCAATATGTGCGTCTGTTTGAGCAGTAGGTGTATCTGTTCAAAAGAAGTCCAAAGGATAAAGTCCCTGTCAAGATTTAAGTCAAAGGGAGAGTCTAGATTCAGGCATGAAGTCCAATATTTAGGCCAGGCGGCTGCAGCAGCAGCAGACCCTCATGGAAAATGAATGGGACACACACCATTCGGATGTCTGAGACCGAAGGAGGCCCAAAAATGCCAATACAAACCTGGGTCAAGGGAGTCCAGCAGTATAAAGGAGCAGGTCAACCTCCCTTGAGCACAGATCCCCACACACACACACACACACACACACACACACACACACACACACACACACACACACACACACACACATACACACACACACACACACACACACACACACACCTATCAATCAATCAATCAATCAATCAATCAATCAATCATTCAACCAATCGATCAATCCATCAATCAATCGATCAATCAATCAATCAATCAATCAATCAATCAATCAATCAATCAATCAATCAATCAATCAATCAATCAATCAATCACAGCAAACAATCAATGAATCAAACATGCAATTTTATTGATTGATTGATTGATTGATTGATGTGTCTTCCAAAGGAAGTAGAACATCAGGTCCCTGTCCAGTCAAAGTCCAGTAAGTTGGTTGGATTCATACCGAAAGTCCGAAATTTAAGCCATATGAACGCAACACATTGCTCACCGGACGGACTGTCGACTAATTGGTGCAATGACTGCTTCAATCATTCATTGGATGATTCCCCGGTTGCGCTTCATTCATTCATAATGGCTCGTTGTCTGGCTGATTGATTGAGCGATATTAGGATTTGGAGGTTGGCATTATGGACGGACGAAATGATTGATTGACTTCGTGATGAATTTCGTTGTTTGATTAATTGTTTGAGTTATTGGTTGACTGATTCATTGTTTCAATGCTTGCTTGACTTCCTGGTTTATTTATTGATTCATTTGTTCATTGCCTGTTCCTGACGCGACGCTTCTCTGGCTTTCGGCACTGTGCAGACACTGACAATCCAAATGTCTATGTCAGGCGGAGATGTTGTCTCCCCTCAATTGTCGCCCTGTGTGCCATCTCCACAGGGCGCACCCTGTGGTGGTCGGAGTGTCAATCGATCTCCATGTGCTGCGCAGGGGTTGTTGGGTGGATCGCCGCACAGTGCTGCTGTGGAGGTGCGGTTGGGGAAAAGGCGTCGTGCTGACATTTCATCTTCGACAGGCGGCATCGGTGGACCGGGGATGACACACCGTTCACCTTTCCCGGGTTTGTTGGGGGCATCTCCACCTGGTGTGGCCGCCGTTCGTAATGTTGCCTCGCATGGAGGTGTGCATGCTGCTCCGTTGTTGCCGTCCCTGCTCCCTCCTAGACGGCTGGACTACTCGGCCATGATTCCTCTCGCACCTCTTTGGGCACATGTCGTACTAGAGGCGCTCCTGTTGTTGGAGATCGCAGCGATGCAGGCCCTGCGCAGGCATCGCACTCAACAGTCGCCGGCTCGGCGGCCAGTCGAGTCTCGGTGCCGCTTCAGTCAGCCTCTGACGCTCATGACCCGACAGCTCCGCATGATGGCGAAGATCGAGGAGCGGCAGTTGGGGGCACGCCGTCTTCGGCCTCCAACAAGATTGTGGGAGTCAGTGTCAGGGATGGGTGTCGCAGGCAGTTGTATGCACTGCGCGATGCTATGGCCGTTGTGGGTGACCACGGCGGACCAGTCGGCGACGTTGTGGACCGGCTACTTCACTAGTTGTTGTCTGCCATACGAGCGGAGTCCGGTGTCGCCGTGGCTGCTGCGATCTCCTCGACATTGCCATCCCGAGTGTGCGGACCTGATTTTCAGTTGTGTTATGTCCCGGGTGATTCTGGTGCTGACTGTGTTGACGGGGGTGACGAGGGTTCATGGAGCGATGCGTTCGGGGGGTCGCAGGACGGATCGCACAGCTCTTTCCCGCCCCTGCGTCGTGCATCGCAGCGTAGTGAGAGAGGGCGTGGTTGACCCCGCAGTGCAGGTCGCTCGTCATCGACGCATTCGCGACCATAGACGTGGTCGAACTGTTGGGAAGATGTCGACCAGTGTGGTCCCGTACCCGAACGCGACTCTATTGAGGAGGATATGGCACTGTGGACAAGATCGAAAGCGTCAGATGTTGTGTTCCTTGAACCGGTCAAGCTGCTTCAGTTGCTGGCCTTGTTTCATTTGTATTGCCCGTAGCACAGTGACGCGTGTCGTGTGCACGTGGAGTCAATCTCCTATCCTGCGTAGTTGTGTCGGCTGATTCTTGTATGCGATCGCAAATGCAAATGCGCGTGGCACACGACACTTGTGACCACCAATGTGTATCGGTCTCGATTGCAGGAGCAGCTGTATCATGTGACGGTGACCACGGGACTGACCTACACACTCCTCGACACCTTTTGTGTTGCATTGGGGTTGTGCTCGGTGCACAAACCCACGTCTTACAAGTTCATGCGCACAGAGTCGGACGAGGCGGAGGGATGGAATGATAAGGTCGTACGGCAAGGCCTCAGATACTGCGAGCTTGCCATTGATACTGTGATGCGTCGTGGCGAGCCTGTGACATTGATGGTCGACGGTCGCTACGACTCCGCCAGAGGGGCGCAGCATTGCACAGTCACCGCCATTGAGTACTATACTCGGCTTGTTGTCGGTGTGCACACTCTCCGTCCCAAGACCGAAGGCAAGGCGTCGAATGCGATTGAGGTGCCAGCCGTCGTGCGACTACTGTGAGGGCTGATGGAGCACGGTCTGAAGATTGGGTGCGTCGTCTCGGATGATTGTGCCGCCCAGGGACCCCAGTTATGAGCTATGAACATCGAGTGGCAATCCTTGAAGAAATCGGACTTCGTCGGTGTTGTTATGAAGAAGATGTACCCCTTTGGGTCAAAGGCGAACGACCGACGATTGACTGTTGATCCTAGCGGTGTGACAGAGTTCCATGCGCACGAGGTTTCGATGTGGTTCCTCCGCGCTTGTTAGCTGTGCAAGGACGAGGGTGGAGACGCTGGCAGTTTGCACCACGACATCATGCTGATCGCCGATCATTGGGCTGGTGATTATTCGAGGTGTGTCGGTGGTAGGGAGGTCATGTGCGAGAAGGCCGGTGGCCCTGCACGATTGCCTTTCTGTACCCGCGCTGACAGGGTGTACGAGCTCATTTTGCGTGTTTTAGGGAAACAATGCAGCACAAACAACACGCTATACTACGTCGAGTTTCGACACACATCGACAGTCGAAACTTTCCAAGGCACCATCATCATCTATGTGAAGAAGTCGGTGCATTTCGAGAAGTCTTACAATGTGCGTGTGGCAATCGCAATCATTCGGTGGAACAGTCATTGCTGGCGTGCCTCGGTTGAGTACCGTGCTTGTATACCGGCAGACACTTCCATACGTCTGTGACCCGCTTTTCGTCGACATAACGAGGAGGCAGAGGACTCATGGGTGGATATGTTGGCGGCAGCAGTGTTTGGTTCGTCTCGTGTTTCGGACTGGGCTCGACAACTTCTGAGGCAGGAGGTGTGTCCTTATGGAGCCCTCGGGTCGTCACTGCTTCCATTGCCACGTGATTTGTTTGTCGCGGGTGGGGACGAGCATGTCGAAATCGCAGATGATGTTGACTCCCGTTCTAACCATGGTATTGTGGGATCATCAATATTTCCATTGTCGGTGATGAGGTGCAGGATATTGGGGTTGCGTGTCATGATTCCGGGTCCGGATCGAGCTCAGAATCTGATGGTGACGACATAGAGTTGCACACCGTTTGACATTCATTGCCTTTGTCATTCACCTGACTTTCTTCTGCGGATTTGATAATGTTTGCACATGGCTGCTTCTCTCACATCTCATGGTGTCTTGTTTTTTATGCTTTGGTGTTTGTTTTATATGTATACATATATATATATGTATATATGTATATATATATCGTCACAAACAGAACTGCCCAGTAAACCATAGGTAGAGAGAGAGAAGAGGACAACAAACGAAGGGCTGTGACAAACTGTTTCGTCGGCGTTTCACCAACTCATCAGGTATATATATATATATATATATATAATATATCGGACCAATGTCGACTTACACATGCATCCAATAATACAATATCATACAATTGCAAAAAGAAATAAATGAACTTGAGATGAGAGATAGAGGATTATAAGAAGAAGAAGATGATGTACACCAGGCAAACCAAAGATTACATAAAGCAATCCCTCGAAGTCACGACCAGAGGTAAGTACCGGCCCTGATGGCCTGTCGACCAAGCACGGGCGTTTACGGGCCACACTGAAACCAACCCACACGCATACGATTACGGTCACATACACACTCAAGGCAAGCACACAGTCGGACTGACACACGTAATCACACTCAAGGCAAGCATACTCTCTTTCTCCCTCTCTCTCTCTCTCTCTCTCTCTCTCTATCTATCTATCTATCTTTCTCTCTCTCTCTCTCTCTCACACATACACACACACACACACACACACACACACAGTCGGACTGACACACGTACCGACACACACGCATACTAACACACCTGGGAAACACGTACTCACATACATCCTTTCCTCGACATTGCAATGATGAGGAAGACGGTGTAATGCATGAAGCATTTACCGCTGTGCACGTCGATGTGACCGTGCATTTTCTGGAGGATCACATTGTCATCGTTCTCGCATTGCCGTTTGGAACTCATCTGGCAATCTCTGTCTGAAAACGATGAACCCGCACAACCGAGAAAAAACAACATATCCATTGTAACAATTCTGCTTCGGTTGGAGATTTGCACGACCAATAAGCAGATTCATGCATTGTCGCAGATGTTCCTCTAGGCCAGCAAAAACCACAGCCTCTTCCAAAAGCGCTGCGGGCCCCGGCCACCGACTCCTTATCTTGGCAATTGTCAACTCCTTATCACGGAATGGATCAGTATCCATGTTATTTCCATATACGACTTTTTCAGCCCGCACGCCTGCCATGCGTCGTTGGCGGTCCATATATGGGAAAGGGGATTGTTGTGTCGCTTATGCGTTTTTTTTTTTTTTGAAATCTACAAAACAAAATATTACGTGCAGCGATTACCTTAGAAGTGTACTTCCAAACCACGCACAACAGAAAAAAAACACAAAGCAGCAGAAATATGGAAAAAAAAAAAAACATACATGGGATGTGACGGTTGCATATGTATATATTTTTCACTACTATACAATCATTTAAACCATCAAACAAAGAAAGAACATAGCAAAAAAAACGATTGGTATTCAGCGCCGAATCCCAGAACACGTTAATTTCGTACAGTGTATGGATACTGCTGCAATGCACATAACGCGGCACCGTAAGTTATGAACGAAAAGATCGAACAATGAATGACGCAAACACTATGTTATGCATGTACCGTACGGGAAGGGGAACGTCCTTTATACATATACATGGGAGGAGCGGATAGTCGTGGTCCCGAACATAGTTGAATGCTAAAAATCCTTTCGATTTTGTTCCCGAGCCCACCGGTTTCGGACTACGCATGAGACGAGCGGGATGATGGTTTGTTGCCACTTTCGCAGTGTCGTCCTCAACAATTCTCTCTCCACACACTGCGCACGTCTCTTTGGAGAAAACTACGGCGTTGTAGCAGTGGGTCAAGTTTGAAGAAGAACCATCCATTGCTTGCTAACCTATCCACATGCTCGTCCGCAATTACTGATACAATGCGCCTTAGCATTTGACCCAGCATGTCGACATGGGGGGGTTCGCACTCGTTGGGAATAACGTATGAAAGTTTTTTCGCATGCATGACAACCTCATCAAGGCAATCATGGGCGTCGTAGCCCAGCCCCACAACGACCCTTCAAAGCGAGGGTTTCATCAACGAACGCGTAGTACACACGTGTTTTGGTGGCGATCACCCCTTCCCAGTATTCGAAGTCCCTTTTGTTCTCAGTATCGCGCTCACACACTGTCTCTCTCACGACGATATCCTTTCCATCCACAACCTCTTTCACAACAATAACTATGTCGGCCATGTTGCGTCGCTGCGTCGAATAAGTGAACCTGACAATGTTTGCCTGTTCCATTGGCGGGGCGACGACACCGGAAAGATGACAGCAACACAATGCGTACGATAAGCAACGGACACAATGAGTCAAGTGGGGCGGCTGTCATAAATAATGATAATAGTAACGAACAGTGGTAGGTGGTTCGTTGGTTGGTTAGGTGGTCGCTTGGATTATTGGTTGGGTGGGTGACAGGGTTGCTGGATTGATTGATTGGGTGGTTGGGTTGGTGGTTGGTTTAAGCAGACTGTTTCGTAGGACAATACCAGACAGTTTCGTCGGACTTTCACCGACTTATCAGAAGGTTGGGCCCTGACAGTCTGACCATGACGCATTTGACAGATTGACAATGACACAGACATATACACACGTACACAGACACAATATATATATATATATATATATATATATATATATATATATATATATATAGAGAGAGAGAGAGAGAGAGAGAGAGAGAGAGAAAGAGACATAACATTTTGCGAAGAAACGAACCCCACATATATTGCACATTCTCCCAACCCCAAAGTCCACATCAAATATTTGTAAATGACAATGCCTTTTTTGATGTGATAGATTGATTAGATGTGTCGACCGATGGAAACATTCCTCTGACATAATGTTTCCCAAGACACGGAAGCCTTTGTTGTGCTCCTAGTTGGATAGCGACCTCATACGGGGCAACGACCCTCACTGTTGCACCTCACATTCCCTGTGTCAGACTTAGGTTTGTTCGAATCAGAACCATCTGCACATGGCCACTTCGCATGATCAGCTTCGGTTTTGTAATGTCGAAGTTCATTTTCCCTCGACTCATACGCTGTTCGTGCAAGTCAATCTTTTGTCACATATCTTGTAAATCAGCAGTTGTGCTCTGATGGGCTTCCTCGGCAGCATGCAAGCATTTGGTAGCCACTTCGAGATTGTTGACGACATCTTGAATAGCAAGTCTTACGTCTCTCTCAGTAGTTTATCATTCTACATTTGCGTACACAATGAACTTCAATATTCACGACACCGCAAGGAGACGTCGTATTGGCTGCACGAATGAAATACAGCACGTGCCACAATAAATGATTGATAGATAGATTGTCTGATAAACAAGTAGTTTGAAGGTATGAACGAGTAGTTGATTGAGTGACCGAACGATTGATTGCTTAACAAAATCATGGACAGGTGGCGGGGTTGACATTTGGAATCATTGACTGATTGACATTAATATTGAGTGGCAATAAGACTGAAGCAGGGGACGGATCGATTGACTGAATGATAGAATCGTTGATTGAATGATGGACTCGTAGTTTGATTTGTGCACTAATGCTTCAGCCCGTCTTGGAATGGATCAATATCTATGCCATTTCCATACACAACTGCTTCATCCCGCACTCCTGCCGCTCGTCGTCGGTGCTCCATATCAGGAAAAAGGGTGAAGATTGTTATGTCGGTTATGTGTTTTTTCGAGAAATATAAAAAACAGAACATTACATGCAGCGATTACCTTTGAACTGTACCTCCACATCATGCACAACACATAAAAGCACAATCTGACCGAAATCTGGAAAAAAATAATCACACACATGAGAGGTAACCATTGGATATAGCAAGGAAGGAACATCAGTCGTCCTTGCAACAAGGAAGGAACATAGGAAACAAAACGCTTGGTGGTCAGCTTTGGATCCCGCTACAAGGATAGAACATCACAGAGAAATCCTCGCCATTATGCACAAAATAGGGCGCAGA